CACCAAAATATATATATATATATATATATATATATATTTTATCAACAAACAGTTGATTTTTTTAATTTTAGTACTCTAACACCAACTCTGCTAAATCGTTGTAACGTGTATTATTTTTTTAGAGAACTACTGAATTTACTCTCAAGAGTATATGAGAAATATATATATATATATATATATTTTATCAACAAACAGTTGATTTTTTTAATTTTAGTACTCTAACACCAACTCTGCTAAATCGTTGTAACGTGTATTATTTTTTTAGAGAACTACTGAATTTACTCTCAAGAGTATATGAGAATTTTTACTATTTTTTTTTATTAATACCCTTTTGATTAATATAGTTATTTGAGTAGAAAAATATTAATTAAGAATAAGAGGTAAAAATTTAGTCTCATACGATTTAAAATAAAAGTTTGAGGGGGTAAAAGTGTTAAAATCCTATTTAAAGCCTAATTAATTGAAAAGGTTTTTACAAGTACTGTCAAAGTTACATATTGGAGCTAAGTAGCAAAATGAGCTTTGTTCATGGTTGCAATTTATCTTGGCGAGAGGCTAATTCCTGTTTGCATTTCTGGTTGTAATTAGGCGGATTACTGCCCTCTACTAATTGAAAGCTCCAGATTTTTTTGTTTACACTCACATTTTATTTTAATTATAATACCATTTATTTATCATTTATTTATTTTTGTTGAAGCTTTGTGCATGATTTTTTTTTTAAGTTCAATAGGGCAATTTTTTTTTTTTAAGTTCAATAGGGTAATAGGGATTTCATTAGCACGGAAAAGAGTTACAAGAAATTGACAGAAAACAAAACAAAACAACTCCAAAATAAGGAAAAGAAAGCTAATAAAAAAACGACAACAGACACAAAGTTATATAAACATCTATTGACATGTGATCAGAAATGACAAAATGGCAAAGAAAGTACATGAAAAGAGCATATGAGCACAAGTGTAGTTAGCAAAACGAGAAAAAAAAAAAAAAAAAAAACACAAAAGAACAAGGG